CTGATTTAGCCTTTGGTAGAATACTGCCATCAGGTCCTTTTCCTTGTTAAAAGAAATTAAATCATCTGCCCAAGACCTTGTAAATGTAGGAGATAGAAATGGAAAAGCAGAACTGAGGTAGACCAGAGGCTTTCTTCTACAGCACTCTCTGTACCCAGAACTCACTGCAGTCATTCTCTACACCCCTTTCTGTCTTTCCCCAAGTATTTGACTTGAAATATTTCAAATCACCAATGCAAGTGGTCAGCAACAAATTCATACACATACAAATAGCATTATATGAAACCAGCAGGTTAATTAAAGAAAAATAGTCCAGAGGCCATAAATCAAGGTGGAGGTGGGAAGGGGAAATGATGTAATTGTAGTAATCTCAAAAAATAAAAATAGTTCAAAAAGTTAAAAAATATTTCATATCAAACAATGAGGTTTTAGTATTCACAACAATGTTTATATCCAGTACAATTCATTTTAAGAAGTAAGTGTGGCTAGGGATGGTAGTGCAAGCCATTAATCCTAGCACTAGGGAGGTAGAGGCAAATGGATCTATGCGAATTCAAGACCAGCCTGATTTATACAGTAACTTCTAGGACAATTCAGGCTATACAGTGAGACTCTATCTCACAAAACAAAACAAAACAAAACAAAACAAAACAAAACAAAACAAAACAAAACAAAACAAAACAAAACAAAACAAAAAAACAAAGCAAAGCAAAGCAAAACAAAACAGCACATACACACATAAAAGCTAACCTAAACCAGATAAAAGAAGAGAAGTAACTATGGATCTGAGCTTTATTTTTGTGTGCTGGTATAAGTTCACACATTTTCCTTAAAAAGCAAACATTTATATCTAGACTCCATCTGTAGTGTCAAAGCAGTTTAAGTTCATGGTCTGAGTGATCAGCCACCCTGCTCTGCCTGATTCAATGTCTCAGGGCAGTGTCTTTATTGTTTTGGTTTCCAGGCTATTGACAAGAGGCTTCCTTCAGATTCTTTTCCAGTGCTATTGAAATATGTACCTCATGTATGCCCAGGTTGCCTCCTGTTGGATTTTCTTCATGAGCAATTCATAGACTATTCTCTGCTGTGATATTACTTTCCAATATACACTCAGGGAAAGCCTCTCCCACTCAACAGGGCTCAGAAATCTTGACTGGAGTACTTCAAAAATAGGTCTAGTTTATACTTTTATAAAAACAAGTGATGCATGGACAACTCCCTGCTTGGAACAGTACGGATAGCTGAGCTTCTCTGAGGCAAGCATTGCTGAAGAAAACACAAATTCAGTTCCCCACTCAGCTAGACCTGGATGTGTTAAACTTGCTTTGCTGAAAGAGAACTTGCTGTCTTGTGGAAAGAGGCTGGCGTGACTAGGAGAAAAGGCTTGTGGCAGGTGGCAGTTGTGATGTAGGAATTAGAACTGGGGTTGCTTTGGTGTCTTCCATCTACAGTCCTGCAAGGAGATTAAGTTGGACTTTTTTCTGTTGTTGCTAATGGAAAATGCGGATAGCTCTTATGTGTATTTGGAAAATAATTGAAATAATAATTTAAGAATGGTCATGGGAAGAATTTTGAACTTGGAATTTGCATTTAGGTTCGTCCTGAGTGTGACATCTATTAACATAGTTTTTGGTTGCTTGACAAGAACCTGGGTACCTCATCTCTCTTCCCAAGCACCCTGAGTAGAGTTGCCTACTTGTATTCAAGTGGGAAGAGTCAAGCTCAGGGTAGGCCTGGTAGAAGGTGGAGTCTTTGCTTTGTTCTGTGAAAGGCCCAGCACATGTGATTTGTTCAACCAACTAGTGACAAAGGTAGTAGAGCCCAGATTCCCTACCCCATCATGTAGTAGGTAGGCTAAGAGAGAAAACGTGTCGTGGACTTGCTTTCAACATTGGTTTGTGTTTTCTCTTATCTCTTTCTATTCTCCTTTTGTTTGTGTATGGTGTGTGTGTGTGTGTGTGTGTGTGTGTGTGTGTGTGTGTGTGCATGTGTGTGTGGTCAGGTGTATGTGCAGGTATACATGTAGGTTAAGGGGACAGTCTTGGCTGTTGGGTCATACATTGCACCTACCATCTTTTAGACAGAGTTGTGTTTGCTTCTGTGTGCTGAGATATCAGATACATACGGCTGCATGTCTAGTTACATGAGTTCTGGAGAATCCTAGCTCAGGTCCTTATCCTTGTATGACAAGCACTTTATCTACTGAGCCATCTCCCTAGCTCTCTCCTTTTTTTCTTTTCTTTTCCTTTTATTTTATTTTACAATACCATTCAGTTCTACATATTAGCCATAGATTCCCTTGTTCTCCCCCTCCTGCCCCCTCCCCTTCCCCCCAGCCTATCCCCCATTCCCACTTCCTCCAGGGCAAAGCCTCCCCTGAGGACTGAGATCAACCTGGTAGACTCAGTCCAGGCAGGTCCAGTCCCCTCCTCCCACACTGAGCCAAGCATTCCTGCATAAGCCCCAGATTTCAAACAGCCAACTCATGCAATGAGCACAGGACCCGGTCCCATTGCCTAGATGCCTCCCAAACAGATCAAGCCAATCAACTGTCTCACCTATTCAGAGGGCCTGATCCAGTTGGGGGCCCCTCAGCCTTTGGTTCATAGTTCATGTGTTTCCATTCATTTGGCTATTTGTCCCTGTGCTTTATCCAACCTTGGTTTCAACAATTCTCGCTCATATAAACCCTCCTCTTTCTCACTAATTAGACTCCCGGAGCTCTACCCGGGGCCTAGCCATGGATCTCTGCATCCAGATCCGTCAGTCGTTGGATGGGGTTTCTGGCACAACTGTTAGGGTGTTTGGCCATCCCATCACCAGAGTAGGTCAGTTCCGGCTGTCTCTCGACCATTGCCAGCAGTCTACTGTGGGGGTATCTTTGTGGATTTCTGTGGGCCTCTCTAGCACTTTGTTTCTTCTTTTTCTCATGTGGTCTTCATTTACCATGGTCTCCTATTCCTTGTTCTCCCTTTCTGTTCTTGATCCAGCTGGGATCTCCTGCTCTCTTTCCCTCAACCCTTGCCCTTTATTACTCCCACTCATGTCCAGGTTGTTCATGTAGATCTCATCCATTTCTCCATCATTGGGCGATCCTCGTGTCTTTCTTGGGGTCCTGTTTTCCAGGTAGCCTCCCTGGTGATGTGAGTAGCAGTCTAGTCATAGACACCTGATCCTTTAGGGGAATGGTTTAATCAAGACATCCCATTTAGGATTGAGTGCTCCAAAGTCTCTTACTCTCTACACATTGTCCAGTTCTGTGTCTCTGCATTAGTTCCCATCTACTGAAAGAAGCTTCTTTGATGATGGCTGAGTGTGACATTGATCTATGGATATACCAGAATGTCATCAGGAATCACTTTCTTATTGTGTTTCTTGCTATGGTTGCAAAATCATAGTTCTTGGTTTTCCCTTTGGCCTGGGTCTATGCAGTCTCAAGTTCTTAACTACCCCATCAGTGTCAGGTCTGGGTTCCAGCTCATGGAATGGGCCTTAAATTCAATCAAAGAGTGGTTGGTTACTCCTACAACTTTGTAACACTTTTGTACTACTATTGTACCAGCATATCTTGTATGCAGGTCACTGTTGTATGTTCCAGGAGTTGTGGCTGATGTGGGTAGATGATTAACTTTCTCTTCTGGTGGTATTCAGAGTACCTTCTTGTACCAATTTTAGTGGCTTAGGGGGACTCTGATACTGAGCACATTCCTTGGGAGGTTGTGAATCATTTTATATTATTTATTTTTTACATTCAAATTTTTATTGTTGCATGCACATTGTTGTGCACTTATGTGTATAGGAATAATATGCATGTGTGAATGTGGATGTGCATTAGCTACACTGATGTGTACCACCATGAACATGTGGAGGTTAGAAGGATAACACGTGGGAGTTGTCTTTCTTTTCCTGCTATGAAATTTGGGGACTGAATTCAGTTCTAGGCAGCAAATGATTTTACTCACTGAGTCATCCTGCTGGCTCGAGTTTTACTTTTTGTTTCAGTATCCAATGATATAGTTTGGAGAAGATGAGCAGCAGAATTCCAACAAAGATAGATGACCTGTGTTCCTCCCATATGATCCTGTGTGTAACTGAACTTCAGAAGCCTATCTATGAACAAGGTTTACATGGGAGCAAGACTTTGAAAGATACATTTGAGTTAGGGAAGCATTTGGTAGCTATTCTGTTATGTACTCACCATGTACCTGACACAGCTTTCACAGAGTTAATGGTTTAGCAAAATTGTTCAGGGTGGAGAGAGGGCTCATTGGTCAAGAGCTGATATTACTCTTGCTGACTGAAGTTTCATCTCCAATACCCATGTTAGATGGCTAACAACCACCTGTAATTCCAGTTGCAGGGGATTCAAAGCCTCTGGCCTATGTGGGCACTCACACTCACATCCATATACTCACACATCCCCCCATACACAATAAAAAATAAATGATTAAACAAATAGAATTTAACAAAATGATTAAAGCTCAGGACCTTGGTACCTTAAGCTATAGTTTTTAATCTTATTTTTAAAAAAAAAAACATGAAAAGCAAACTGATATAAGATAAGAAAATTTCTTGGACTCTTATTTAGGGAAGTTCATTTGGGTGGTGGTTAAGAATTTGGCTTTGAGTCTTGGTTTTGTTATTCAGTCCTCCCTTGTGGTCTTGGCCAATTATTTTACTCTGTGCCCTACCATCCTTATCGACATCACTGAGGACATTGATATTACATTGAAGGGTTATTAGAACTAGCTGGGGTAATTCACTCCATTTAGTGCCTAGGACTTCGATGTTTGCTATTATTTTTTATCTCTTTCAACAGCCAGGAGTATTTTCTGCATGGGTATTAGCTAATTAAATTGTTCAAAGTTAATGGGTACCTTAGTGATACAGTGAGTCTTTGACTGCCTCAGGCCTACGTGACCTTCAATAACTGCAGGATAAAGGTTTAAAAAAATTTAATCTAATTTATTTATTATTGATATTGTCCCCTTTGGTTTCAGTATTCGGGATTCCACACTGAAAGATCGGAGTCTGACCATGACAGCCAGTGGGGTGGAAGTCCCCTGACTGATACTGCCTCCCCACAGCTCCTGGACCCAGAGAGGCCTGTTTCTCAGCACGAAGTGTCATGTGCTTACAGGCAGTTCCCAGATCGCAGCTCTCTCTGCTATGGCTTTGCCCTGGACCACTCCAGGCTGGTGGAGGACAGGCACTTCCACACTCAAGCCTGTGAGGGGGGCCGCTGCGAGGCAGGCAGGTACTTCTTAGGAGCACCACCAACTGGGAGAGATCCCTGGTGGGGCTCTCGAGCAGCCTTGCCGCTTACCAAGGTTTCCCCGGAGAGCAGAGAAACCTATGAGAACAGCATGCCGCACATCACCTCTGTCCACAGAATCCATGGTAAGAGCTTGAGGGGTACCAGGTCCCCAGCAGAAGGCTGTGCACTGGAGAGACTGACCCCAGTGATTTTCTGCTTTTGATTTACAGAAACCCACACCAGTGGGATTTTAAGAACTAAGTTCACGCAGCTTAAGTGTATTTATTTTGGTAGTGTTAGCATATTTATGACAGATGAGAAAAAAATTTCTCATTTTAAAAACTATAAAGAGTAGAAATTAAACATCAGCAATTTATGAATCTGTTGAATTTGTAGCTGTATTTAGAGTTTTCAGTGTCTTCTCCTAGGTATCCTCTCAGCAGCTCTCTATCAGCAAGGGCATTGTTGCTGTGTTGGACAGGGCAGTCTTTGCTTAGTGGACTATGGCTTTGTGCAGACGTGTATAGCTTCTCTGGGAACCAAGTCCCAGTACTGCCTCCCATCACCATGACAAGCAAAATACTACCTTTAAAAAGGTGGAGAGGGCAGTGGTGGTGCATGCCTTTAATTCTAGCACTTGGGAGGCAGAGGCAGGCAGATCTCTGTGAGTTTGAGGCCAGCCTGGTCTATGGAGCAAGTTCCAGGACAGCCAGGGCTGTTACACAGAAAAATCCTGTCTCGAAAAAACAAAACAAAACAAAAACAAAAACAAAAAAAAAAAGGAGAAACCACCTGGATTTTCACCTTGGGATAGTTATACAGCTTTACCAGCCCAGAGAAATGGACTAGTGTTAAAACTTTGATAATGGGTAATACTTTCTTCAAACTAAATTATTCTGTATATTACAAAGTAAATTAGTTTGGTAATTACTTCTTAAAAAAATGAGTTAAGAGTCTATCCTGATCATTCAAAGTATAGCTCTAGGCATGTCTTTGATAATTTCCCTATTTTATTAAAAGTCAGTGACATTATGAAGGCCCTGTTAATTTTCTCCCTGCTCTTAGCGTGAGAAATGTGCTCGATTCTGTCCTCATCACAATGTCCCCTGGCAGACACTTCCATGAGCAATTTTAACTTCTTTCCATTGTTGCATTTTATTTTTCTGCTTTTCTTTTGAGTAAACAACCTGTTAAGAAACAAGGAACATTTTGGTAGTCTGGTAATGGAAACCCAGGGCAAAGCACAATTACTTGCTAAATAAAGGTGAGAAGCAAACCTATATGGCTTAACCTATATGGCTGGAAGAAAATATTAGAAATAAAACAAGAAAAGAGGAAAGGAGCAATGGTCTGTGTGATATAGGACTCTTCTGCAAAATTAAGCAGTTTCCATGGTTCCTATGTCTCTGCTTTCTTTTAGTTTTACACTTTGTATTTTTTCAGACCAAGAATAATTCAGTTTCTGAAATATATTTTGAATACATTACTCTTCAGTGTTAGATCTGCCACCTTGGTTAAGAACAAATTGTTATAAAAATGTCAATATTTATTTATTCAAGACTTTGTTTCAATAATAATAGGAGTTCTGTTTCAGAAATAACCAAAGTTTCCATTGTTACATCCAAAGCTAATATGTTTACCCTACTGTTGGTAACAAAGTATTTATACTTTTAGTTATGACAACATATCTCTATAGCTATATCATCTATCCATCCACACACCCATATACAAGCATTTGTACCAACTCCCAATTTTTTAAAAAAGCTAACATTAGAGCTTTAGTGTAATCTCATTTAAAACAAACCAAGAATTATTAAAAATTTTCAATGACTTTTTAAAAAATATAATAGTTCAGCTTATACAATTGTCTTCTTTAAATGCAACGGAAAACATTCTAATAATAAAAACAAATTGTATTCACCTTCCTCGTATTATTTGTAGATGTGTATGTCCAATAACATACATGCATAGGGAAATATGAATGTACTTTACTGTTTTACTAATTGACATTCACAACTCATGAATGAAGTTTATTTTCTAAGAAGCATGTTATCTGCAAACTGAAACCCATTGATTACATATGAATCCAACATATATCTGAATTCTTGTACAAATGTCAATATTCTGTCATATAGGCCTGTTTCTATTTCCAATATTGCATTAAAATGAAAGATGTAAGTTTTTTTTTCTAGAAAAGAAATGCACTTGTGTGTGTGTGAACTTTGACATTATCTACTTTTTAATTTTTATGACGTAGGTCGAGGTCACTGGGATGAAGATAGCGTGGTCAGCTCTCCAGACCCTGGGTCAGCCAGTGAATCAGGTGACCGATACCGCACCGAACAGTATCAAAACAGCCCACATGAACCTAGCAAAATTGAAACTCTTATAAGAGCCACGCAGCAGATGATTAAAGAGGAGGAGAATAGATTACAGCTAAGGAAAGCTCCTCCAGACCAACTGGCGTCCATTAATGGAGCTGGGAAAAAACACTCCATCTGTTTTGCAAACTATCAACAGGCCCCACCAGCAGGGGAAGTCTGCCACAGCTCTGCTCTTGCCAGCACTTCACCATGTGACCATGTCCAGCAGAGAGAGGGAAAGATGCTCAGCCCTCATGACAATGACTATGACAACAGCCCCACTGCACTGTCTCGGATAAGTAGTCCCAGTTCTGATCGCATTACAAAGTCCAGTTTGATCTTGGCTAAAGACTACCTACATTCAGATGTGTCTCCTCATCAGACAACAGGAGAGCATCCTGCCATTTCTCCAAACTGCTTTGGCTCCCACCGGCAGTATTTTGATAAGCATGCCTATACATTAACTGGATATGCCCTGGAGCATTTATATGACAGTGAAACTATTAGAAACTATTCCTTGGGCTGCAATGGCTCACACTTTGATGTAACTTCCCACCTGAGGATGCAACCAGACCCAGCACAAGGACACAAGGGGACATCTGTTATAATAACCAATGGAAGCTGATGTTTTTCTAAGATATTTTGTTTTTTCAAGGGTCTCTGAAACACATTTATAGTTTAATACCCCATTAGCAGCATTTACTATTCCACGGATTGTTAGAAAGTCTAAATTAAAGTTTCTGGCTATTTGACATGAGTTCCTGTGGGGGGGGGGAATACAAAACAAAAACAGTACCAACATTCAGGGTTATACACAGATAATTAAGCTAAAATGAATGTAGAAATTGCCCACATATTATAGCAGAACCATAATAGATATATTTGAATTGAGAAATACTAATGCAAATTAAGCATATATGCCACTTGGAAGGGCTGATGAATGAAAACATTGTGTCGTGACAATCTAATAGAATTCATACACATAGACCTTATGCTACTTACAAACTGCTATGTACACTTCACATGCATAAATACACAAAATGGGTACTTTTCCTTACCTGTCACATAAAGCTTCTTAAGGAAACACCAGTTCTCAAAATAAGTAAAGAAGAGAAGGGTATGTCTTGTAAACTTGTTTCTTCTTCTTCATGGTTTTAAACTACTCCACCCATTTGGTTCATTAGAGAAATGGTGCTGGTTACAGTACACAAGTGTGTTTTCACCTGGTGTCCATTACAAGCAGTCAGGAAGCAGTAATTTTCCACCTTACTTTTGAGTTAGACATGGACCAGGATTGGATTGACACAACAGTAAGGATCTTTCTAAGCCACAGCATTGAAATGTTGGGAGACATGTAAAAAACATAGCCTACTCAATTGTAAGTGGTTTAGTGAAGGAAAGGGCAAAGCAGTGTAGAATGATACTAAATCTCAAAACAACTTTTGAGACTGAAACAGGTAAACAACATTTTGGGGGCTAGTGTACAAAACACACAAGTCAGAAATTTAAACCAGTTTACCCAGACAAAATGCTGATAACTGCAAAAGTAACTAAGGAAGTTCTGTAAAGTACTACAAGACAACAGGATAAGTGTTTTAAAACATTTGAAAACACAGATACGACAGTGTGTCATATGTGAAAAGCCTCTTGAGAGAGAGTCTAAGATAAAAGCTTAGGCAGATAGACAAGTGCTTCCAAAGGTGCATGGGAAATTCACATGGAAAAATGTTGACTTTCTTTGCTGTTTGTAGACACTGAAAACAACATACTTGCTCCTATGTCCATGTAAATAGTTCAGTAAACTAGATTCTAAGATCTCTGGGTTTCCATTCTGCTCTTTCCTGTCACTTAATTTTGGGATCATAGATACATCACTCACAGTCCCTGCATCCTGGTTTTCTGGTCTGAAAGGCAGCTCTTGTCTATGGTTCTGTGATTCATTGGTAGAAGTAAACTTGTAAACAGTTAAATCTCTGTTATGAGTTTTTAAGATTGGTAGTTCTGGATTTTCCATACATTCAGAGGTCTAGATACTTTGTTACTTAGGCAATGTGTGGTCTCTTTCAGGCAGGAGGAGTTATAGTCAATTCTCTCTTAGATGCAGCCAAATGTAGATGGTAGAAATTTATGAAGTGGAAGAAAAAAAAGTAAGATTTACTTAATGCACTATTCTCTACTATTCAAAGAAAAATGACATGTTTGGTTAGAAAAGTTACATGCATAATATTTTTTCGGGATTCACATGCCTGTTACTTTTGCCATATTTAAGGGGGAGAATGTACTGGAAGGACTTGATGAGTATGAAAACATTACATGGTATTGGACACTCAGGGATTCATACTGTATTTTCATCACTCAACACAGTCATTTGGTGACAGTCTGTATGACAGGAAACTTAGAGTTGAACATTGGGTTGTTTGTACATGAGGCTACAAAAAATTAACTACTGCAGTATAACAGAATAATATTATCAATGAAAATGAAGAAAGGTGCAAGTCAGTGAGAAAATAGCCTATGTACTTAAATATACTTTCAAAAATGCTGAAAGGACAATGAAAACTAAAATTTGAACTCCATAAGAGAAATATTCAGTAATTTTGAGAAAATTATTTCTGAGAAACACACAGGACAGATGATTTGGATAAAATTTCAACATGAGAAATGTTTTCAGAGTGGTGATGGTTTTGCAGAATTCTGTAGACAAGACACAAATATTTGATAAATATGTATTTTGGGCAGAAAATCTATACAAGTAAGTTCTATTGCTGGGTATCAGAGGTACCTTCTGTAACAAATAGAAAGAAGAAACTAGGAATTTGAACTAACACTAAAGAGAAGATTGTCACTAAAGGAATTCCAGTGGAGTTTTTGATGTGGAGGATAACTTATACAAAAATAAATTGTGGACTCCACAGACAAAGCCTCATAAGGAAGATCAATGCTTCCCAGAATGCCAGAACAAATATTTTTCAAAAAAAGACAGAATCTTCTAAATTATATTTTGGTTAACAATCTTGGTAGATTGACCCATTTAAAATACATTAGCCATTTATTTAATTAAACAAATGTCAATTTTGCAGTGGCAATTTTATAATATTGCATATAATGCCTCATAGACTCACAATATATATATCTTACATTGTTTTGCAGAATGGCATGATTATTTAAATGACTCAAAATTAATTGACCTTTTACAACTAGGTGACTTCTTCCTGTTCATATAGATACATAAAATGTATTTGTAATTTACATTATTTTGTTCTCTACAGGAACATATTTGCTCATAAAGAATTATTATCTGTGTCTTAAAAATGTGGGGTGTAAAATAAACACATTCCCAGTAACAAGCAATTAAAATTAAATTAGTTTTATTTTTAATCCTTGATTTTTCCCATCTTTGCTAAAAAATTGAAAGCCTGAGAAGCATGTTCCCTTCTATCACTTTGGGAATTCATAAAAATGTTACATCCATTTATATCACTACAACATGCACAATTCATCAGTTTCTAAAAAGTCAATTTTATCTGGAAATAGTAAGACTATCTCTGATGCCCATTTCCTTTTTTTACCAAGATAAAATTTAAAACTGTATATGACCAATGAAATATCTATTTCCCCAATCTTCCTTGTGAAAATTCTGTTAAAATTATTATTGAGAACATACAGCTGATATATTCTTTTTGGATGTATTTTTAAGGTCAGAGACAATGTAGATCAGACATTTATGTATGCTCTGGCTCCACAAATCTTTTGACATCACATGCAAAATCTAATGTGACAGCATTTCTAAATTGTACTTGCCTGTATAAGACACTATGTCAAAACTGATAGGACATTCAAAACCAGACAGGATGTAATAAACAATTTCTTCAGTGTTCATACAGAAAACTACTTATTATTTTCTGATTCTAGTTTATAGGGCTGGAGTATTCCCAGCAAATACTATTCTTAACGTCTGCACCCTGCTGCCACATGCTGCCTTTGGGCAGAGAATCTCACTTAAAATAAGCTTGAATGATATCTCCTTAAAAGAATAATATGTTCCATTTCCATTTCTTTTTTTTATGTGGACTTTAATCCTAATATGAGATTATTTGGAAAGTATGAATAGATATTTTTAAATAAAATGAAAGCCCCCCACAAGATCTAGATCACATGATAATATAGCTGGAAACACTCTGAATACAGACTTGCTGTTTCATAACTCTGTCTTTTGCTCAGTATCTCTCTGTTTGTTTCTCTCTCTCAGAACCAGTTAATCACTAAGCTATTTGTATGATCTATTAGTGCTAGCAGTAATTGAGAGTGACAGAGTGAAAGCTGAAGACTTGACTGGGAATCACTTATCTTGCCTGGAATAGCTTACACTGTGGTACAGTCCTTCTTGTTAAAAAAAAAAAAAATCGAATGTCTGGCTTTGGTTTCTTAGTTCACTCAAATGATAGATGTAGACACATATCCAGTTTTCTGAATGACTTAACAAAGAATGTAAGTCCTCCAAATTAGTAACTGAGCGTTCATGTAAATGTCAGGTTTTTGTGAGTAAGGATTTCACTGTAGGTAAAAATCTGTTGGCTAGCTCTTACTGTGAAAATATATGGTGGATAAGACATTCTAAATTTTAATTGAGTGACAGAACAGCTGTGGATACATGCAAGTGTATCATAAATAGGAAATGTTCTTGGGGGAAAGTTTTGAGTAGTGTTTATTTCTTGTGCACAAAGGTTGTACGGGTAGTGCTTACATTCAAAAGGTAAGATGACACTCAATTCCATATAGACATTTGTTCAGCGTTCCTTCTCTAAGACTGTGCACTGTGCAGAAAATACACCACACACACACACACACACACACATACACACACACACACAATGACTTTTATATTACTTTGAGAATTTATAAATGTGCTATCTCCAATGTGAATGTATGATGATTCATACAAGAAATTCTAATTCATAATTTTAAGCTAATCATTGTAGTTTTATTTACTGGGATTTGCTGTGTAAACTTTGCCTTCATAAACAAGGAAAGAGGTATGATAATCTTAGACATACCAGATCATATTAAATTTCTACCCAATAATTAAGATGTGTTTACATTTCAAAAGAAATGAAATTGGCATGCACAAATTTTTCTAATAATTGTAACTTCTTTTCAAAGGAATAGATTAAAAAAAAAAGAAACAAGAGGCACTTCAAGAAAGATAAAATATTTTATGCTTGTTTTTTGACTGACATGCTATAAAAAGGATTATATTTGTGAGAGAAGATACTGGTTCAAAATACCCTCTTGCAATGTATAGTTTTTAGTGATATTGTAGTATAAACTTGTAATTTGAACTTTTACTTTGGAATGTAAAGTAGAAAATAATAGCTATGTCAATGATATCTTGCAAAGTGTTTCCATTTATAATTATTTATATTGTAAATAGCTTTCTGAAGTAAAATTGAAGTTAATGTCCATAAAATGTATTTATTATGTGAGGAATTTTTGGTTTAAAATATAGTTACCAACATGCAGTTTGAGTCTGAATCATTCATTCAAAGAAGAATGTTTACCGGACAAAGCACATTTGTCAGCCAGGCTGGTGCTCTACAGACAGCCATTTTAGCTCTTGATTGAGTTATGTTGCTCAACTCTCTACAAACACACCATGCACAGAGACCCAAGAGCAGAAGCTTGTGCACATGCAGAAACTACTCCACAAGGGCTCTGTTTTGTTAGACCCCATGTTAGACCTCATGTGCTTTGAAGAAAATACAAATTCTTTAAATAATCATAAAATGGAATATTTCCTGCCCTATCCTAGGGTCTAGATTGGAACTACCATCTAGCTTTTGTCATTTTACCAAGGAAGGTTTTCACAGCAAGGCAAGCTCTTATGTATTTTAAGTGAACATCTCCCCACCCTACCCTTTGCCCCCTCCCCAGAGGAAGTGGAAGAGTTGACTCTATATTTTCATTCCAAATAAAATTCTCTTTAAAAAGAGCCATCATGTGTCAGTCATAAGCCAAACTCAGATCATTATAAAAGAATTAGAGATTACTTCTTACCAGAGAGGTAGTTTCCTGTGCTCCCCATTTTAGAATTGAAGGACTGAGATTCAGAATCCTTAAGTTGTTCAGTCACAAAGAGAGGGTAGAGATGAAATTTGAACCTCCCACATTTGGTTTAGAACATTACCTTGATTTGTTTTGCTTTCCTTATATAATAATAATCATAATACTACAGACAGGGAATGAAAGTGTTGTCTAAATGGTACTTGCATAAAACAAATCGGTCCAGCAGCCCCCCTGGCATTTTCTTTATGCTGGAGTTGCTGTTCTCCAGTTTCACTGATGCAAGAATACTAGCTTTAAGAGAACCAGGCCAACCCCGTGGTCCCCTTGAACACAATTCTACCTTTCTGCTCTGATATCTGGAGTTCAATATGCCTGTAGTTGAGTTGTTTACACAGGTTTCCTATGATATTTAATTTTAAAGAAATCGTCATACTGGGTGGAGCTTTGTGTGTGCTCAGCAAGCACTGTGCCATGGAACTGTGTTTCTTGTCCCTGGTATTTGCCTGTGTTCTTAGAGGTAATTTCAATTAACAAAATATAATTAATTTAAGTAGTAATTAGAAATATACATTTTCAGATTATGAACTCAAGCATAACCTTTCATGATAGTCACTAAAGATTCTGCTTTGTTTCATGGAAAGCTTTCATTTTTCTTGAGATAAGAATCCAACAAAAGAGAAATGGCTCAGTGGTTAAACTGCTTCTCTGTGTAGCTTTGCGCCTTTCCTGGAACTCCATTTGTAGACCAGGCTGCCCTCAAACTCACAGAGATCTGCCTGCCTCCGCCTCTGCCTCCCGAGTGCTGGGATTAAAGGCATACACCACCACCTCCTGGTTTAAATTGCTTCTCTTGCAGAGGACCTGAATTCAGGTCACGGTACCTCAGTACAGCTCACACCTGCTTGCAACTCCATCTCTAGGGCATCTAATGCCCTCTGAGTCCGCAGACACTTGCACTCATGTACCCAAACCTCAATACTGACACACATGCAAATGTATAAATGAAAATAATTTTAAAAGTCTTTAAAAATCTAACCAAAGCTCACTAATTCAAGAACTAGGATAGGTGTGCAACAGATGCATTGCTCATAGGTCTCTCTATCTCTGTCTCTCTGTATGTGTGCACATACACACTCATTATGTGTCTGTGAGCACATCTTTTGTCCAGAGGACAATGTTGGGAGTCATTTTTCAGGAGCCATCCACCTTATTCTTGTCAAGGTCTCTTATTTTTTAGCTTGGTCATTAGGCAGACTAGAAAGTTCCAGAGATCCTCCTGTCTCCACCTTCCCAAATGAAGGGCATACAAATGAACACCAGCATTCCTGGCTTTTATGTGGATGCTGAGGGTCAAACTCAGGTCCTCATGCTTATATGACAAGCATTTTCCAAATGACCCATCCCCCAGCACCAGGCACTTGGCTTTAAGGGTATTCTGTAGATAGAACAGTGGCTGTTGCAGCTATCACATTACATATGTTCTCAGTAGGGCTAGAAACTGCCTGTATGCTGCCTAGAGGAAGGCTGACCTACAAGCACAGACCGTTCCTATAAGGTGTCTTTGAGCAGTGGTGAGCATCTGCTGAGATCAGCCTGTGGCTGCTGTGGTAATTATTGCAGCCAGTGGTGTTAAGAACCTGGGCACTCTTCCAGGTCCATCTAGTCTGTTATGGTAAACTTCTTATAGTTCTTTCTTGGCCTTCTCGATAGTTATGGGTTATAACTTATGTGCTATATTCCCAAATGGAATGTGTGTCAGAGTAGAAGATATGTAAAATAGCCCTGATTTGAGGGTTTGTAAATTATCTCTGCTATCTTAGCTCTCCTCAGGCCAGATTCCTGTGTACGGAGTAATTCCTATGAATCTAGTTTGAATGCCATCTATCAAACCTTAAAGGGAATCTTGGTAGTACCTACAGAGCAATAAGGATCTCTTCTTGGTTTCTGGTGAGAACTATTCTGGTAGTTTTGTTTGGTATATATCCTTAAAAAAATAACCAAAAGAGTCTTATGGGTAAGAGCAGAGTTCACATGGAAATGGGTAATTAGGATCTAATGTGAGAAGAAATAATCCAGGCAGTTACCAGGCTTACTATTCTATGCTTTTCCACATCTCTAATTTCCATTTTTTTTGTTCTGGGTTAATCACATGCTCCCTTAGTCAGGTTAGACAGGTCTTGTTCATGATGCCATGCTAAAACTTGCTTTTATAATTTGAAAGGTCAGAGGCACAATTTTTCATATATACTTGCAATTTTGTCATATAGTTAAAAATTACCCATTACTAAGATTTTTTGGGGGGTGGACAGGAAAAATGATTTATTCCAGTAGGCTTATTTATATACTGCTTGCAGACATCTGCTGGTCATACCTGTTCCTTGTTTAAATGCCTACATTTCCTATATAATTAACATTAATGGTTTTCTTACATTAAACTAAAATAGATCAAAATTGTCTCTTTACTTTATTTTGTATTATTTGTTTGTATATGCTCCTGTATGTGTGTATGGGTGCATGTTTATACGTGTGTGGAGTTCAGAAGTCGACACTGAGCATCTTCTTCACTTGTTGTCTACCTTATTTTATCTGTTTATTTTACATCCCAACCACAGTTTCCCCTCCCTCATCTCCTAGCAGTCCCTCTTCCCACTTTCTCTCTGCCCTCCTCATCTACTCCTTCTCTGTTTCTATTCAGAAAAGTGCAGGCCTCCCATGGATATTCATAAAATATGGCATTCAAGTTGCAGTAAGACTAAACACCTCGCCTTGTATTAAGGCTGGGCAAGGCTAACCAGTATGAGAAATAGATCCCAAAAGCCAGTAAAGGAGTAAGAGACAGCTCCTGTACCCACTGTTAGGCGTCCCACAAGAAGACCAAGCTACACAACTGTCACATATATGTGGAGGATCTAGATCAGTCCCATGTAGACTCCCTGGATGTCAATTCGGTCTCTGTGAGCCTCTATGAGCCCAGGTGAGCTGATTCTGTGGGTTTTCCTGTGATGACATTGACACCTCTGGCCCCTACAGTCCTTCCTCCCTCTCTTCTGCAGGATTCCTCTAGCTCAGCCTAATGTTTGACTGTAGGTCTGCATCTGTTTCCATTAATTGCTGGATGAAGTCTCTCTGATGGCAATTGGGCTAGGCACCAATCTATGAGTACAGCATACTGGTCCATACAGTCTGGGTCTTGGCACTCCAGGCAGTGTCGGGGTAGGCTCACTCTCATGGCATGGGTCTCAGGCTGGACCAGTTATTGGTTGGCCACTCCCACAATCTCTGCACCACCCTTACTCCAGTACATCCCATAGGCAGAATGAAGGTTATGTGGCTGGATTGGTGTTTCAGTACCTTCACTGGAAGTCTTGTATGATCACAGGAGATGGCCAGCTCAGGCTACATTATCTGCAATTGCTAGGAATTGTAGCTGGGGTCATCATTGTAGATTCCTGGGAGTTTCCTTTGCACCAGATTTCTACCTGGCTCCCAAATGCCCCCTTCTTCCAGTTGGCTTTGAATACTCTCATCCCCACCCAACCGCCACCGGAACACTCATGTAACCCATCCCTACTCGCTCCCAGTCCACCAATGAAATCTATCCTACTTCCCCTTCCCAGGGAGATCAGAGTGTCCCCCTTGGGCCCTCCTTGTTACCTAGCCTCTCTGGGTGTGGATTGTAGCATGGTTATCCTTTACTGTAAAGCTAAAATCCACTTATAAGTGAGTAAGTACATGCCTTGTTTGTCTTTCTGGTTCTGGGTTACCTCACTCAGGATGATTTTTTTCTAGTTCCATCCATTTGCCTTTGGATTTCATGATGTCATTGTTTTTAACAGCTGAGTAATATTCCATTGTGTACATGTGCCACATTTTCTTTATCCATTCTTCTGTTGGGGACTGAAGGACATTCAGCGGGACATCTAGGTTGTTTCCAGGTTCTGGCTATTATGAATAAAGCTTCCATGAACATAGTTGAGCAAGTGTCCTTGTGGTATGATTGAGCGTCCTTTGGGTATATGACCAAGATTGCTAACCACCTTAATTTTTGAGACTGTGTCTCTCACTAAACCTGGAGCTCACAGATTGGCTGGCCTGTGAGTGCAGGGATTCTAGGCTCTTCCTTGCCAACTGCTGGGGTCACAGGAGCCTTATGCCACAAATAGTTTTTACATGGAATCTGGGGAATCCATGAACTCCAGTCTTCTTGCTTTTCAGCAACCACTTTACTGACTTAGTTATGATATCACCTCCAAATATGTTTTTTTAAAAAAGTAAAACGTAGACTTTACTTTTGGAATTTGTTTCCCTTTCATAGATACTGCTAGTATATTGCTAAATGTTAGCAAAATATAAGACGGCATCATAAAAAAGGAAAATAAAAAGTCATAAGAATTCTGTTACTCCATCCATACCCCAAGTCCTCTTTAACATTTATTTATTTATCTATTTATTTATT